TATTTTTGTTTTATTCCTCAAATTTTACAAAATGGAAAATATGGGTAAACCTATATTTTCCATATACATATAATAAAATTCTAAGTCCAATCTGTACATAAAATATTTTTTGGAAAATATTATTGAAATAGTCATTATGATCGATACAGAGACCGAATCTATAATTTTTACAATTTATGTCTGTCTATCTATCTGGGAACGTATTACGAGATAAATCACTGGTCAGATTTTGATGAAATTTGGTATGATGATAGAATGATAGGTATCCGGGTCAATATATTGGACAAGTTTTACTGCAGGAAAGCATCTCATCTCTGAGAAATCTATACCAAAACGTTAAAACGTTACCAGGGACGAACTGAGTGGAGTGAAGGTGATGCCTAGTAAAAAATATAAATATCATAGAAAATTATAATTTTACTGGGTAAAAAATCTAAATAATTGTAACTGTTCTTTTGATTTAATTAGTTTCATATATGTTATTATATTACTCTTACTTAGTAAATAAATGTACTTGTATAAGTACATATAATAGATAAAAAATTATGATTTTCATGCCGAAGTTTGAAAATGAAAAAGCTGTTATTTTCGTTTAATAACATAAGTTTTCTTAATAGACCATTAATTATGTGGAACAAAGGCGCATAGAAGTGTTGTTTGGACAGTTTAGCCCGCGGTAATTCAATTTCGGTTTGTGTTCCAAAAGTTAACACATCCATCCTCGAGCTACATGTCATTTATAATTTGATAATAGCAAACTTCTTGCTAATAATGTTTTTTTTCTAATAATTTCCTAGAATATGTTAAAGTAGTGACAATTTCAATTTAGTTTGCTTAATTTTTTAATTACGATGATATAATTGTAGTGGCTTTAAAATAAATCGTCCAATTTTATTTACGTAGTCATATCTGTACATTATATCTTATGTTATAATTTAATAGAAAACCTTCAAAATCATTAATTAAAAAAAAACAAGAATGTGTCAATAATAATATAGCCTTTTCCTCAATTATATCAAAGTTATCATGCGTTTGCAATAAACTCTTTATTAGATACCCATTACAGTTTATAAGCCTTACCATACCTCGATACGTGCTGATATGTCTCGTAATGTCGTACACACGATCAAGAAATACGTGAACTGGATCTTTTAATATAATAATAATATATTTTCACGCTATATATTTATGCTTTTACACTAAATATAACGAATGAAAGAACATTGTTGAAATATAACTTTATTTAGCACTTTCCCTATTGATTGTAAGTAATATATTTTACTCAACTTTTAATTTCCTTAATAAGTAGTCAGAAATAAAAAAAAATCTTAGAGGTTGAGGGATTTTAGTTTCTATTAATAGTGTTACTGTGTCATAGCTATTTAAGTAAATTAACTTTATTAGAATGAATCATTATTAAAATTACATTTTTTTTAAACTTAAAGTTTTAAGGTACATTTTATTTTTAATTAAATATTTTTTCATTCCATTTATCACAACCACTATTTATTACTCTATATTCCACAGAAGTCATAATATTTCTCTTGAAAATAAAATCGTAAAATTATTCTGATTATCTAAAAAACTCTTAAAAATTAATGAAAATGTCATACAAGCAATTCAATTAACTATCGGATACCCATTAAACATGATAACCCTTTACATAGCTGTTGGGGGTCGAGACGTGCCGCAATGTGCCTCATAAAGCCAGAGAACAAGTGAATACCAAGCGAGCTAGACATACGCTGTACTATACTATGTACTAAATACAAACAGTCTATGATAATATTAAAAGCATCATGTTATTAAATACAATTAAACTATTTTTATTCAAATTTATTTATTAGTATTATATTGTAATTATTGCATATATTACTCAGAGTATAATATATACTAATAATTTAACTGTCTTGGTTTATGTAGTCGTATACGGAAAATATTTTTTTTCTTGTCAGTATTTAACAGTAAGTATATATAATTCAAATATTATAAGTTTAGAATTTATGATCTAATTATGCAAAAATAGTTAAATTCTTTTGTACTAAAATGAACTAATGAAAATATTATAAAAATATGGGCTTGGTTACTTTTTGATGTATATTATAGCCATGTAACATAATTATAATGTCTTTAATTATTATATTAAATGAAAATTTTATTCAAGTAGAATACATTTACATTTGAATATCTAAGATATTTATGTAATATTATTATTTTAATTCTTAAAGTATAAATATCATTTAAGCTGCAGCCTGCAACAGAATGGCGTGCTTCGTAATAATCGGAAGAGTTGTCGATATTGCAATGTGCACGTCCCTAGCCCGGGGTGCCTTAAAAGCGTCGTACATTCCAGGCATTTTGATCTGCCTTGCCTCCAATATTTGTCGTCGCCACCGCATATTAAGCGCCGCATTCTTCCTCGCATAGTATTGATAGAACAATAAAGTAGGGGGAATATAATGGACAGAAGTAGGTTACCCTTCGATTTTAAACGAATGCCTTTTCGACGTTATTTTAGATGACGGCAATTTCGCGAATAGTTCATTGATTTTTATGATCCTTAAGTGCTTTGATTGCTCGGTTTTAAAGAAATTGAGGATATTTTATATCTTGGTTTCAGCTGAGTGAATGAAAATGTTAAGTGATAAAAATCATTTAGTGCATTAAGTTTTCTTTCCTACCTCATTTATATGATTTATAACATATTATTTGTGAAGTTCTTAGAAAATTACCTGAAACAAGTACAAATAATTAATTGTTAATTTTATATGAAATGAAAAATATTTATTAAGTATATTAACGTATTGTTTGTGCTTAAACAATTATAATTTCTGATTAGGCAGTTTCAAAGATATATAAAGTAATGCTTACTTTATCATTTTATCGATACAATAGTGTGGCACCACACTACTAATGGTCATTGCCGAGATAGTTCAGCGAGAAATTGTTAGATGGCGTTAATTTATATATAACTAATTTTTTAATGTATTTTTCAAAGAAGAGCCTTTTAATTAGTAACTGTTTTTTTCTAAACTGGCCCAGTTAAAGAAATAGACCTATAATAGAGTAATTGGTGTACATACAAAAATAAATAAATAGTGATCAAAATATCTTCTTTTTTGAAATCCATTAAAAATGTCAGAAATAAAATTGTAAATAATTGTTTATACTTAGTATGGCGGGTTGGTAGAAGTATTTAAGCACTGAAAATTGATTTTTAATCAATAGTTCTACGCGAAACCAATAATGCCGATGCAATTTTTGGTTGACAACGAATTTTGGTGTACAAGCTGATGTAGTTACAAATATTAGACAATAGTCGTGCAGATGGTGGGTAATAGAGCTATAAAGTACTAAAAACCAATTCTTGTTTCTTTAAAATTATACAGAAATACTTTAATCTTTACTGCTTTAAAACACTTTCACAAGAAGTATAACAAAAGAGTATCTATTCTAAGAACAATAACAATATTTAACAATAGGTAAGTCTAATCCGGCAATTTGGGATCATTTATTAGTATTATTAGACTTTTATTTCAAATACAACATTTTTGTATACATTGGTAGTCATTTACCGTTTGAAAGGGGCTTTCCCAGTTATTATAAAAATATAATCTACGAGTATAATAAAAATATTTCTGCTCGCTTAAAAATTCCGAAAAGATAGTTTTATCACAGATCATATAATAAATAATATAGTACTAGAATCTATACTAAAGATAAAGACTAGACGAACCCAAGCGGAGCGAGGGTGAGTCGCTAGTTTTAAATTGTAAATATTTAGCTAAACATTTGAAATCACGTTACCGAAGCGTCAAAAACTTTCTAGATTTACTACCTAGTAACGAGCTGACGTAAAGATTTAAAAGAATTTAAATTTTCGTAAGTCTCTTTCCGAGCTTATAAATTGAAAAGTTTAAATTAAAAACTAAAAGTTTATCAAATATTTGTAGCCTTCTACAAGCTTACTTTTACTGCCACGGTAGCTAATAATGGCGGTCAGGTCGTTTTAAATTTTGTACCAAATAAAAAATTATGCGTTGATTTGATAATGTTTTCTAAGTGTAATTTTATTTAAACCCTAGCATTGCCCGCGGTTCCGCCCGCGTACAGATGACCGAAAACCAAATTCTTAGGTTTTGCATAGGTATTAGTATACTCTTACAATGCACTTTTTGTATTTTTTTTTCAGAAATGAGATATTTTTCCGCGGTAAAAAGTATCATATATGTTGACTCGGATACCCAGCTATCATCATATCAAACATCAAAAAGTATCCATTGGTTTTCTCGTGATGCATTCCCAGACAGACAGACAAAAATTCTAAAAACTATAGATTTGGCCTCTGTATTGATAAAAATGACTATTTCAATAGGATTTTCCAAAAAATATTTTATGTACAGTTCGGCCCAGTTATAATTTTATTATAATATGTACAGATTAATATATCAGTATCATAATTATGTAGCAGTAGGTAGGTAGTTTTTTTTTCAAATTGATTATCAATTTTAATTTTTCAATAAGTTCAAAGGGCAAGTAAATAGTACACATATTATAAAAAATCTACAGAGAGACCGTTATTTTACTTATCGAAGATATATTAAAGCCATATTTTTTCAAACAATCGCATTTATAGATAATAATAGAAGTCCGATGTCAGTGTAATGAAATCGTATTTTTTAAGTATTTACTGCAAATATCATAATAGCGAGTACACATTATTTACAATAGAAAATCTTATCTAAAACAAATACAATATTTAAAATTTGTTGTATTGGAGAGGGGGTATTCTAGGAGTTAAGAGGATCATAGAAAAACAACCTTAAAATCAAGAACATAAAGGCGTTTATCGTATCCACGTAAGCAGGTAATTACCAAAAAAGTATATAATTAACAAATGGGAGGTATTAACAAATACATTTTATTCTTGTCCGTTTGTTTACTAAGGTCGGTGGTGGTTTGAAAATGATCTAAATTATTAAGTTTTAAATTAAGTAAAAATGTGTGAAGTGGACTATTATTTAGATGAAAACTACCAACTTGTAAGTATTCTAAATCGATTATATGGATATATTAGTATTTAACACTATATAGTTGCAAATTCTAGTTATTATTTTTATCGTGTAACTAAACAATATTTTTTATTGTTAAAAATTTATTCGAAATGATTGATATCTTACTATAAATTCTCATTTAAATGTATCCTATGTAAAAAAAACGTATTGCCTAATAAATCGTTTAAAGTGCAAACTAAGTAGGTATTCGTCATAAATATTAGTGTTTTAATTGGTATAAACGAATAATACAGTGACTTGTGCTAGCTTACTGGCACTATAAAAGAATAAGTTATTCCATGTCATAGTCTATCTGCTTACTAAATTTCATCCAAATCCGTCCAGCCGTTATAGTATGACTTTATATATATATTTAGTATTGTATATATAATTAGTTTTGTACTTATTATAGATACGTCACTTTCTTATAACCCGACCAAAATATGTGAATTTGTCAATACAACATGAATAAAATGCTTTGAATAAAGTTCAAGAAAAAAATAATAGTTTTTTCATAATATTATTGAATGTGTATAATAAATAATTTAGATATAGTTATTGTATATTATGTAGTCAACAACCATATTAATGGGTGAACGAATGTAAATTCTGAACATTTCTATTACATTCATAATTATATTATCTCACATAAAAAGACAGATGTTATTTAGTTGATTCAAAGCGACACGACACGTTTGGCTCAGTTTGTAGTGTACTTGCTGTACCAGCGGTCGCGGATTCGAGTCCTGCTGGGGGCGTCAATTTGTGTGATGAGCACGAATGTTTGTACTCCAGTCATGGGTGTTTATATTTATAATATGTATGTATTTAAAGTTATATATGTGTAATGTACCGACTATCTGGTATCCAAAACACAAGCCACAATGCTTCTTAGAGCTACGAAGCTTACCGTGAAACTATGTAGATGGTGCTGTCACTGCTGTGTGTTAATATCCCAACATACTTAAAAGCGAGATAGAGCTTTCAAATACAAAACTTTATATTAAATTTGTTTTATACAGCAAAGCTTCTTACATAAATTATGTGACCCTTTAAATATGTATTGTTATTTAAAGCATCATTATATTTTATTATTTCATGAATTTCACTTTCCAGGAGCTGAACCTTCACAACATACGAAAAGAACTGATTGCGATGTTAGAATATTACGAAAAGAGCCTTTGCACAGTTTGCTTACACTTAAAATGTACTTGTGTAAAAGGTAAAAGTACAACGGACATTATAATCGTAAACGGAAATACTTCTGATGAAAAGAAAGAAACGGATAAGGATACTAAAGATAAAGAAAATAAAAAAAACCAAGATGAAGAATTAGAAAATGTAGATAAAAATGTCAGTGTAGCACCTCCAGCATCCTCGTTACCAAAACCAAAATGGGACAGCTCAAAAAATAATGCCAGTACGTCTTCTTCGCCGGAAAAGGAACCTGTGCATCCTGACATTGAAGCTTGGATGGAAGCTTCTAAAGCCGAACCAAAATCGATCAAGGAACCTATCATTTTGCAGAACTTATGCTATATTAATAAGCAAAAGAAATGTCAGATAATTACAACCAATCGTAACGTAGTAGATTCATATTTCAAATATTTTAAAGTGTCAAATGAGACTGCAGTCACTTACATGTCAGCCAAGTTGGCAGCCGCTTGTAGCACTCCCATTAGAAAGAACTACACATATTTTTAATTTTGGTAATGGAAATTTTGGATATTTATATATATTTTTTTGTGTTTGGATGTTCAAATACGAACTTTTTAACTAATCTATAACTTATAATTTGTGACTTAGCGGTTTCGTTATCAATTTTTTTTATCGCTTTTAAGTTTTAGATATGTTGGATTTGCCAATTAATATTATATTTATTTTATAAGAAATTAAATATTACCTAAGTAACATGGTGTCTACAAATGAAGTCGAAGAAATTAGTACGTGGTATGAAGTGTAATTAAAGAAAATTCGAGTTTACATTTGCAAACTTCTTAATGATGACTATTAATATGGAGATTAATAATGGATAATTTCGAAATTTCTTAATGATTTTTTTTAATTTGTTAAATTTTGATTATATCTTTGAATTTATTCTAATTTTAAAATATAATAATTTAAAAAAATATATTTTATCTGGGGACACGGCACTGCCTCCGCCAAGTCGAGCAAAAGAGGTTGGATTTTCAATGATTGAAGAGATAATATTATAATTTTTACCTAAACAATTTCAATAACTGCTATAATTTTAAGAACTCGATTATCGAGCTTTACTGGTGAACAGAAATGTAATGTGGTTATATCTTGTATTGTATATTGAATAGTTTAGTATATAATTTGATAATCTGTACTAAAATTATAGAAAAAGAGAGAAGAAGAGGCAGTGTTTGTTTTTTTTTGTTTCTTTGTTTGTTTGAACGCGCTAATCTCAGGAACTACTAATCCGATTTGAAAAATTATTTTTGCATTAGATAGCCCGTTTATTGAGGAAGTTTATATGCTATTTTTCATATAATATATAGGTAGTCTATCGATTACATACTAACCGTTACATAAGCTATATAACTAAAAATGATAATAAAAAAAACTATAAAAATCTTAATATAACCATCTAATACAATAATTATTATAAAGTTAAAATGTGTTTTTTGATATATCCTTCTGTCATGCTGCAAAGAACAATAATTGTCAACTTTTGCATAAAAATGTTAATTTTTTTCATAGTCTTTGAACCGGAGAGTGACATAAACATTATTCTGACGCATTTAGATACTCTATTACAATAAGAATAATAGTATTGTATAGAATACGGAGTAGTTCAGCGAAACTAGTGAAGTCCGACAGTTGTAGTTATGTCAATTCAATTTTGTTGTTCTTTAAAGCGTCCAAGTTGAGCGTAGTTATGTCATATTAGAGGGTATATGTCTAAATGATAATGTATACAATATCAAGGTTCCCAGTTCGATTCCTAAACGATAACATTGAGTTTATTAACAATATTTGTCCGGCTCCGGCCGGTACGTTAGTGCTTTAACTCATATTATGTAGCGACCATCGTCATATAAATTAGCAAGTCAAGTGAAATTGTAACTTATGACAAATGGACGTCCGTATTTGGAATAACGTAGTACCTGTTTAAATAAATACGAATTATTTTTTAACATATGATTAAAAATTACCAAAGACATAATTTGTGTTGACAAAGTGAATATACTACCATAATGTTGTACTACTAATCGGTCGCGAGTTCGATTCTTATACAGAGCACTAAGATATCTACATAAAAAAACCTGTTCCTTCTCTATTAGAATAGAGCTTGCGTCCGACTTAATTGTTTACGATAATTTTCTCATTTTAAATAATTAATGGTTAGTGAAAGATTTTTTTTAAAATAATCTTTTTGCATATGATTAAAAACATGATATTATGTATTATTTTATGATATATAAAATATTTTATAAATTATTTTCTCAGATTTACGCGAATATTTGACATATTAAATAAAACTATCTTTGCGGATTTTTCTAAGTCTGACTAAATTACTACTATATAATGCCTTTGAGGCGTTTAAAATCTTATAGTCTCTCTCGTGACCACGATTGCTGTAAAACGTTCAAAACGTCGTGAGTCAAAAATCGAAATAAATCCGCGAAAAAATTGAAAAAGACAGTTTTATTTAAAATATTTTATATATTTATATTATCAAAATTTTTAAATCTGAACTTGTGTTAAAAAGCGACTTTAGACGATATTACTTTCATAAATAACAGTTTAGGTTGACTGTTATATTAAATTTTAGAATGATAATTATTATGATAATAACATTTTTTATGAACAAATAAAGATTGTTAATAACTTGTAAAAGTTTAATTTTTTTAGGGTTTCATACATTAGTGATCAGAACATCTGAACCAAAAGATAGGTACAAACTTCAAAATTAATTTAAAGTAAATAAATAAATAAATATGTTGGTACATTAACACACAGCACCATCTACATAGTTTCATGGTAAGCTACGAGGCTTGTGTTATGGATACCAGATAGGCAGATACACCACACATATATAACTTAAAATACATACCTATTATAAAATATAAACACCCATGACTGGAGAACAAACTCATCACACAAATGAATGCTCCAAGCGGGCTCGAACCGCGATCGGTGGCACAGCAAGTAAGGTTAAAGTACAAACTGAGTTAAACGTGTCGTCGCAAACAATTCCGCAAACATAGTAATTTCAGACTGCAGTGGTAACGTGCTCTTTTTATAGGCCAGTTTATATATTAGCATATATTTAAACGAGCAATTCTTGTAATTTATTTATTTATTTATACTGGCGATCTCAGTAATGGCTTTTGATTTCGAGTCCGATTTCGCTGTAATTTGGTATGTGAGAGTTTTCGGGGATCGAAAAATCGATCTAAATTAATCTTATGTTTGTAAAAATGCGTGTTTTCGAGTTTTACATGCGGTTTTCGAGTTTTCATAACTCCACGCAAAGTATGGTCGCAAATTACGCACACTCGGGCATAAGCATCGTGGTCAAGCGGCTAAGGTGCACGATTGACACTCACAGGTATCCAGGTCGGATACAAAGTTTTTACTTTTGTTTTTTTATCCAAAATACGATATAAAAAAACCTCAGATACTTAACATTAAATGGAGATCTTGTATAAACAAATATATAAAAAAAATATAAAGATATTATATACAAAAAAAGAGTTCCATTTATTTTGTAGGAAATTCTTAATTAGCGCGCTAAGCTTAAAAGTAGGATTTGTTTCATTTATATCCGCTTAATGGTCCATCCACACATTACGAAGATTTCTATAGAATTTTGTCTGTGCAACATGGCAGTGCAGACAAATGTCGGTGCATTGGAAAAGTCGGAGGTATGCATGAAAGTTTAAAGTATGCGTGCGTATTATTTGGAATCAAAAAAATAAAATAAATTAATAAAAAATTATTTAGTAATGAATAGATTACCCGAGGCAAAAAAAATAAAAAAAATAAAAAAAGTGTGTGTACGCACATAAGAAGTTATACTTCTTTGGTTTTCGTTTGGTTAAAGTCCGCACAAACATTTTATCGACATATTTGCGTAATCATTTTTACTCGGACTCTTCAATCAGTACCTACAGATGTCTGTACGACAAAAGTTTGTACCAAGTCTGTATCGTGTGGACGCACTATTACTAGTATAGTATTATATGATCTGTGGTATAGTCAAAAGTTAATAATCACACTACAGTTATATATGAATGAGACACATTGTATGTTGTGTATGTTTGTTACTTGTGTATACGGGCTTTGGCGCTGACAGTGCTGAATTGATTTCGATGAAATTTAGTATACAGATTATGACGTTATAACATTGAGAGTGCGAGGAAGTTCCGAACTAGGGCCTTCACAAAAATACATAAAATACAAAACAAAGGCACAATTTCAAAATGTTATTTCTTATTATATTTAAATGAATACTTTGAAACAATCCACATTATAAAAACTTTAAATCCCAAAAAGCCCGTCTTTGACGAATTTGAAACTTTCCACAAAACTTTTTACTCTTTTACACTTCTCCCTTTGTTTTAGAACAATAGAAAATATTATGTAACTGCTGTATTTATGTATTACTTTTACATATTACATAAAAGGCTGATGATTGTGTAAACTTTAGAACTTAATAAAAATAATATTGCATATTATATAACCTTAAAATTAACACGAAGAAAAAAGCCAGCTAAGAAATTTAAGTTGTTGCTGATAATTTCTTAATACAAAATATTTTATTATTGTTACTATCATTCTAGAACAGAATGATGATTTTACAATGAACTTACTTGGTACTTACGCAGTTACAAAAATTATTACTATTTGTTTCATTTTAAATTAGATACCTATATTATATTATGCTTATGGCTGGGTTTAATAAAATCGTGTTATTTTGTAAAAGATATAAAAACTACATTTTTTTTGAAAATAACGTATTCGAGTATAAAAGGTTTATATACAAGATCCAAATCATTCAGAGACGTTTCCTAGATACACGAAATAAATTTATATATACTTGTATATAAAATTCGCTCAAAAAAATATTATAGCATTTTAAAATGATTAGGTATAATATATTATTTGTCAAATTCAAAATATTATAATATTTTTTTCAGATACTAACCATTTTACTCACATATTTGAAATGATTGGTGAGGTACAAATATTAATGTAGGTACTCAATCAATAACATATTCAGTTAGTTTTAAAGTCATATTTGAAATACACATTAATGAAATAGTTTTTACCTAGCACTTTTAAATTACCTATCTCCTTCATCGGGAGGATAGTATAAGCAGTAAGCTCAAGATATAATGCAGTTGGGAGGAAGTAAAAAAAGGCTTGCACATCTATTACTCTAAGATTAAAACTTAAAATTAAGTCCAATGCAAATTAAAATGAATCTTTCATTTTCATTACATACATACTTTTATCATTTTATTTAAAAATATTATACGCTTTAATAGGCAAAGGCTGAAATCAGAGAATTAATATTCTGTACACTAACATTTTATATTATCTGTCCAGTCGACGCTCAGCCGTGTCACAGCGCATACGTGCGTCTAGGTCCCGGCTTTGCTAGTGTTTAGTAGAAATCCGGGGAAAAAGACTCAAACAATTCATTTTTAAACATAATTTATTATTTTTTTCATATATTTTAATATATGATATACAAATAAATGTCAAATATATAACAATATTAACATTACTTGACATTGTTAGTCGTAACTCGTAAGTCCATTTGCTACTTTCTGGTCATTGATGAGGATATTTTGAATTGTAAATCATCATGGCGAATACATCGACACCAGTAAACACACTGTCTAGAGATAACTTAGTGGTGTTGATAAGGAACAATGTTTTAAACAATTCTGTCGAGTTCTCGTCAGACACAGATGTGGTAAGTTATTTAGAATTTAAAAATAACAGATAATTCATCAAGACTTTGTTTAACCTTTTTAGACAACGTGTCTTGCCTTTTTAGATAATTGACTTATTTTTAGATAAAACTAATTAAAACTCATTTGCTGTAGTTATTAAGAAAAAGGATGGTTTGCGATTTTTTGTTAAAAGTGAATCAAAAAAAAAATTTTTTCTTAGAAAAATAAAAAAAAAACTGAAAAATTACGTAAGTATATAGTAGAACGCGTTGTGTATTTGGCAACAAAAATATTTTAATAAGGATTTTTGTTTATGCGTAAGCTTTTTATTTTAGAGTTGCATATCATATCCGTCGCATAGCCAAGAATACGTTAATTATTATATATAATTTATAAAAATATAAAAATATATATAATTTATAATTTTTTTTTTAATATGACATTACAAAATAGTGGGTTAAAACAAGGTTTACGAAGTTTACCATGTTGTGGTATGTCGGAATTTTCTTTTTTCCTAAAATTTGTAGTATTTTCGTGCATTGGCCCAAAATGATGAACAAACAAGATGCATGCATGCATTCATTCTCTTTAAACAAGTTTGTAAATGTTTCATTTAATTCTGCTATTTCGTGTCACTTCAGCTTCAGCCAAGACTAATACTGTGTCAAAAATCTTCATAATTTTACTTTTATGTTGTTGTTTTCTTTTTCTTGGATAAAAAGTTACTTTAAATCTTCATCTATCCTTTAGTCCGCGGTTTTTTTTTGTCCAGGATAAAAGTAAAAGGCCTAATGTTTCTCATCTGAATTATTTATCCGTTATTGTAGTTAGAGATCCCTAAGACATTTTATAAAACTGTACACCCTTCCGTTAATCATTTTACACCTGTAGCCTCTATTAACTACCACTATCTTAAAATTACTTTTCGTAAAAAAAGTTGGGCGTCTCATCAAAACGAATATACGAAAATTCAGCTGCATATGAACCATTTAAAAATTGCTTAGAGATCAGAGAACTGATTAAATTTAATTTCGCTACATCGTGCAAATAACTATATAAGTTCAATAGAAGTACCTATAGATAACTTTAAAGGCAATAAAATAACGGGTCGGCAAGAAAAGGCGTCTAGAAACCTGCCTTTGTAATTATTATACCTGTGGAATTTAACTAAAGGCTTCTCTAACAAAGGAAAAGATTATTGTATGCTCTTTTCAACATTCTTTGTGAATGGAAAAAAAATATTTCGAAGTTTAGTTTTTTAACTACGATAAGTTTATTAATCATAGGGATACTTAAATTCATTTTTTTGACAATAATTACTAGTGATTTAACCTCGCTTCTCTTAGTGGTATCCTTAGGTGCATTCTGTATTTTGTTGTACAGGCAGAGCAACCTTTTGGCAAAATTCAATACTCACAGTAGACTGTGTTACCTACTCCAGGTCCTTTCTATTTCAGTGAGCAGTAACAAACATACATTCACGCATTAACATACAAATTTTGTCGTCTGAATGATCGAATTGCCAACTTTAGAGTTGAGACCTGTATTTCCCGCAGATTGCTGATTTTCTACAACTGTCATCGGTAACCGTTGGCATTTGCCCAAACCAATAAACATTAAACACTCACGAAATAACCAACCACATACAAAACATAAGTAGACCTTAGTGTTACATCGAATACGACATCTATTATAACTAAGTTAGATATTATGAGTACGATGTACATACATATATTATTTGAATATATTTATTTGAATGAATATAAACATAATTATTTGAATGACCCTCTTCAATTCTTTGCTCAATAACTACCATTTTAGCTGTAATATTACTGTACTATCATTTTAACATATTTTAATACGGTACAATTACAAATAATATTGTCATATAATAATTATTAGAATAATATGGACATTATAACAGTTTGATAGCTTGTTATGGATTTCAAAAGCAGCTACTTTGAAAATATAAGATAGAGAAGATTATTTTCTTTATACATTATAGTATAGTGAGTTTTGTGGTATTTATTACAGATGGAGACAGTTTCACCAATGAGGAAGCCATCGAACCTACGACCTATCACCAAGAAACTGTTCCACTCGCCCATGTCACCTCAAAGCCCAGAAAGACCCCAGACAAAGATAGAACGATCGAGGAAAAGAAAGAGGAAAGCAATGCTAATTCCGGATTCAGAAGAAAATGTACAAATAGCCTATATAAAAGAACGGGACGCATATAGCCCAGATACATATGGGGGAATGAGAAAGAGAGTGATGATAAGTCTGTTTCACAATAAAGAGTATTGTATGGATATTGGCGATTAATGGACTCTAAAGGCAAAAGGTACTCGCTGAGGAAAAAGAATCCAAATCGATCGTATACTTTTTATTATTATATTATATACATTATACAAGTTATTCGTGGCTTCGCTCACGTGGTATTTAGAGACCTAACGGGATAGATTTTTTAGGGGTAGTGTATACTTCAAAGTTCAATCAATATAGAAACATGTCTTTATTTACAATTGAAGAAAACACTAGGCCTTTGGGCGTCTATAATTTTTTTGAATAACATCGTCCATTACCTCCAGGTAAATTTCTAAGAAATTAATTAAATTTCTAAGAAATCTATTGTTAACTGTAATGCCGGCGTGTTCGCGGTCGTGGAGGGATTAATATTCTATATTTATTGGCATAGGAATTTTACACAATCAATAAACATTGGTAACTATGTTTATCTAACCCACGAATATCACAAAAGCTAAAAAATCGTAATTATTTTGCCTGTTTCGAGTAAAAAAAGGGAATTTACATATAAAAAGAAATGAAAGTATAAGAGTACCTATTACTTTCAAAATAGTGTGTTTTTAGTTGTTGTTGGTGTCTATTTCCACATTCACATTGGGATCAAATTGGATTGAATAGAAACTCTGTCGTAGCAAAAAGATCTCGAAAGCTTCAATAAAAAAAAAAAACTATTTATTATTAAGTGCAAAATAAAATTCTCTAAAATTATATAAGACTTAAAAAAAATTACACGTATTTACTATATTTTAAGATGATTCTTTGAAGCATTTACAATGTTTTTTATAATTTTTATTAATTCAATTTTATATAATAATATTATCGTAAAATGATAGTAAGATATTGTCTTCCAATTACAATACAATAAGACTGCTAGAGTAATTTGTAGTTGTAAGTCTAGAAGTATATTACAATAATATGTACCTATTAAAGTATAAAGAAAAACATGAATTCAATGAAAAGTAAATTGTATGTAGGTAATTTATATTGTTTCAATTCTAAATTCCTTTATAAATATCTCTGCGTATGACTGATGTTTCGAGGCTACTTCATTTGATATGTACATTAGAAGACTCGCAGCATATACATAACATGTACTTAATAATTCGTTGGCTCACTATTACCAGGTTCTATGTTACAATTTTAGTACTTATTTAGTTATTGATGCTACAAGGTTCTATGTGTCATTAGCTACAGTTTTGCAAAAACAAACCACTAGATAGCGGAACTTTAACTACAAAATATTCAATTTTACATAGTTCTATGTTGTTTTTGCGATGACAAAATAACGAAGTTCTATGTAAAAATTACTAAACTTCATTTAAAATTAACATAGAACCTCGTAATAGTAAGCCTACGAATTATGTCTCCGACTGCATAATACTTGTTCTTACGTTTTCTTCTTCTTCTCTCTGTCGTATTTTTCTTAGTTCGCTATCTTTTACGCAATCTAGTCTTTTTTTGTACCTGTTCTTATTTTAAGCTAGTTGTTTTTAAATTTATAAGATATCATCATTTAGAGAACTCGGTATAAGTTTGAGACTAAAACAAGTGTCATATCAGTCTAAGGCCTTCAAGTAGCTACCTACGTAGGTAATTACATTTTACATAAATAAAGTTACGAGTGAAACTGATAAAAGCTTGTCAAAATGCTGACGAAGAATGCGCGTGGTATATTTAGATCTATAAAAAATATATATATATATACAATTCCTAACAAATATATCTTCAAAATGACGTCGACATGTGACGTTTAGTCTGAAATTAAAAAAGCGAAAATTATAAAAATATAAAATTCAAAAAAAGAATTCAAAAATCGAAAGTTTTAATTGTCTAAACACATTCTAACTTACGCACACCACATAAAGTACTTTTTTAAACGAAACTACCAAAAAAAGTTTTAATTTTGTCATCCGAAAAGCAATGAACAAAAGAGATTTGAAAAAAAATCTAATTGTGCATTTTTTGAGGATATTTTGAAGACGCTAATTTTGTATTTTGGGTTTTTCTATATCAAAGATTTAGATCCTACATAAAGGTCGCATGAAATATAGAAAAGCCTTTGATATTTAAAGCAGTCTATCAGTGGTCCCCCAGGAAAAGCCAGTAATAGGAAGCTTAATGATCGAAGCGATTAGACGATTTCCCACAAGACCAACTTTTCTTCAAACCCACAGTGGCTATTGTGTCAGTATTGTAAACTCTTTGCACTCAATGAATAGCTGATTTTAAAAGCTTTATTGCTCACTACTTTCTGTGCGCGAAAAGTTTTTTCCTTCCCATTTTATGACGTTCTTAGATCCGTAATATCAGAGATGAACCTTTTGTCAGTTTTAACTATAGTGAATTTATAAATTAGTTAATCTGATATTGTCATTGCGATTATTGATTATTGAAATACAGAGGCCGAATCTATACTTTTTAGAATTTTTGTCAATCTGTCTGTCTGTTACCGCATCACAGAAAAACCACAGGAGGGATTTTGATGAAATTTGGTATGATGATAGCTGGTTATCCGGGTCAATATTTAGGATACTTTTCTTTTAGGATCTCATCTCTGATAAATGTATACTAAACGTTAAAACATAAGTAGGGATGATCCCGAGATTTGATTATATAGTTAAGCTAAAAAATAACTTTAAAATTTCATACAGGGATCCGATCGCCGAATCCGATCGCTGAATCAAGTTATCGCTGTCTGTACATGGAAGATATTTGAGAAAATCTTTTATTAGGGGTCTTTATTAACGCTATAGAACCCAAAACAATGATTTCAGAATTTTTGTTAATCGCTAATCTCAGAAACGGCTTAACCGATTTGGGTGCGGTTTTCACTAATGTATTGTGGTAAGCTTCACTTAACATTTAGTATTTATTTTATTTTTATCGGTTCAAAGGTAAAAAAAAGTTATGTCAATTTAAAGAATCACCTAAGGATGTACCCTCGGGTATAAAACTAGAATAAAACTCACGAACAAATGGACCCAGTTGTGCAAAAAAACAGCCATGTACGTAAAAGTACCAACAGCTATAAGTTATAAGCATTTTATTATAAAAATAAAATAATTATAAAAAATAAACAATACTTATATAAAATATTGTTCAATTTTAAAATAACCAGAACAACAAAACATAACCCAAGTGTAACTATCGACAGAAAAATGCTTATAACTCTATTGGTACTTTTACGCACATGGCTGTTTTTTGCATAACTGGGTCCATATTATAATTATTTTGTCTCCCATAACAATTTAGTAGATGCGTGACATTTCGGTAATTCATAAACGTTAGGATCTTCTTTAATAATTAAGAAAGAAAACATAATAGCTACAAATAAATGAGATTAGAAAAATGTACGACACGTAGCAGATAGTTCGTTTTATTGGCACAATATGTTCGCAGCACGCGCCTCGTTACAGCGATGTTTTGAATTTTGCTATATTCGCACTAAGGAATAATATTGAATCGAAAATTGAATATATGTATACCTACTAGAATATTTGAAGAATTTGTTATCTATCTCTTATATTTAAAAAAATCTTAAGTTTAAAATAAAGAAAATGTTACTTTGATATTTAAAAGAGCAACTGTTGACTTTCTCGCCGGCTCTTCTTAGCAGAACTGCTTTCCGAGCCGGTGATAGCTTTCACATGTACTGATTACACATTGACGCTCTTTAAATTGAAGATTCAAAATGCTTATAATAAGTCTAATTGAATAAATTTTATTTCATTTATTTAAAAATTTCTTAGCTTTTGCCCGTGACTACGCTTGTGTGGTAGGTTCGTCGACAAAAAGTAGCCTATAATTATGTTATATAGCGGTCCGTTTTAGAGAGTGTCCTTAGATCGATTTTCATTCAATACTTTTCGGTTGTTTGACATTTTAAATAAAACATATTATTTCGTATTTTACTTGGTTTTACTTTGATTTCTTTAGGGAACAAAACACTTAATCAAACCGCCAAACAATCCGTAAAACAAAATAATTTCGAGATTAAGGATATTTTCAGTACCACGCGTTCGGTTGCGAAGTAAAAACCTAAATTCTTATACAAACACAAACTTATAATATATGCGGTTGATGAAATGAATATTATACAGAAATAGATAAATTAATGCTCTTTTAACGTAACACGAAATATTTGCAATTGACAAGTTAGACAATAGATAAAGTACTAATAGGATTTTTCCGCGGATTTATTTCTATTTTCAACCGACTTCAAAAAGGAGGAGGTTCTCAATTCGACTGTATTTTTTTTTATGTTCGTTACCTCAGAACTCCGTCATTTATTAACCGATTTGGACAATTTTTGTGTTGTTTGAAACTGTATACTTTCAGATTGGTCCCATTTAAATTAAAAAAAAAATACCACCCCTAAGGGTGGAAAAATAGCTAATGATGAATTTAACCTACTTATAATTGTCATATTGACTTGAAACTTTGCAAGTGTTTCTATTTCCGTTGATAGTACAGTGATTCGGTATTGTTGACCTGATCTGATGGTAAGGCCAGAAGTTAGATAGGTGGAACTCTTCAACGGCTAATAGTAGATACTTTGAGTTTGGGCTTGTTTTGTTTGATTTGACAAGCCTAATACGTTAGAATTCTTACTTTGCTACTACTGTCTACACTAAAAAGGGAAAAATAAAAACTTTTTAACAAAAAAATAAAAACCGACTTCAGACAAAATCACTAAAAAGTAAAAAATAACTGATTGGTAGTTTTAATTTACTATACATACCTAATCAAATATTTTCGAAGTCAAATATTTTCGAAGAAAAGTTTGTTAGGTTTAAAGCGCTGTCAAATGCAATCGAAAGTGAATGGCAAAAGTATATGTACCATATAAGTTTAGAAGTTCTTTGCACGAGAATAGAACTTGCAACCGATTTGAAGAGATTTGGAGAAACTTACCTTTAACAGCGCTGAGCTTGTTTCCAACCATCTGCTTGGCTACGAAGGCTGCCATCTTGACTTAGAGCGTCTACTGGTTAGATCTGCAAAAGAAAGAAAAG